CACTCTGTGGTAGAACAAAGAGAGAGCAACTGCTTGAACAGGTTTGTGCCATTTTCTACTAGATTCAAAACACTCCTGCTAATTTAGCAGAAGACTGAAAGTTCTTATTTTCATATTCATTAGGTTGCTAAGGTCTTGGAGATCAAGAGAAGGTTGGGCACCTTGCCCCAGACAGGCGAACTGCCAAGGGAATGAGTAACATAGAGATGTGAGTGGGTAAAATATCTAGAAATTTCCTCAGGTATTGTCATAATTTCAAGATATTTCAGGTGTTCATTTAGAATGTTTTAATCCCATCAATCAGCGATATAAATAAATCATTTACTTTTACAGAGAACTGTCAGGAAATTCTGAACAATTCTCTGTAATTTCTTTGCAACTCTAGGCAGCAGCAGTGTGTCACAATTCTGGGATAAAATAGCTGGAACTTGGATAGATTTCTGGGCATACCACAAAATCGTGTGGATTTTGGAGGAAGAAGGAAGGGTACAGAGCTTACTAAGGATACTTTTCTGCCTTCCTGGCTGCCAGAGGTAATCCCATGTTTGTGGGAAAGGCATGGTTCAGCACAGGCAACTGAACTCATCTTGTTTTTGATGGGATCTGTTCATGTATTTGTTTGCTTGCTGCTGCTGTGATTGTAAGTATATTATAAAGGATTTGGAGATGGAGATAGATTCATTTTTTGCGTGGTAGAAAAGCAAAAGGAAAAAATATTTGAAACTAAAAGCTCCATGTTTGTTGACAATTAGATAGATCTGACAAAGAGATCTATCAAATGCCATATTTTCTGGAAATGAAAAAAGTCAGAAAAATGCTAACTGCTTGAGTATTCTCTGAAGCATTTGTGATGGCAAGCATCTCATGTTAAATGGATTAGTATTTTTGTTCTTACATCTACTGCCTTTCAGTAGCACTATTTACAAAGCATACTTGAGTGAATTTATCTTTCTGTGAATACATCATTCCTGAGTCAAAATAATACTGTTCACATGTGCCAAGGATATCTATTGTACATATGGGTATATGAAAAAAATTCTTTATCCATTGACACACAACACCTCTGTATAGATGTCTATGACTTCTTAAAGCCTCAGAAACAAAACATCTTTTACACTATATATGACTTGTTGATTTAAAAGGTGTACTGCGGACTATTGTAGATGTCCTTGCAACTGTTACTAAAGTGGGATTCTGAGTAAATCCACAATAGTTGAATGAATCATTAGTGCAATCAGAGCCACCTACAGGCATTGTCAGAAGAGACAGTTGCTTCAACAGTAGACTGGAATGGAGAGGAAAACATCCATAGCTTAATCATCTTCCCCTAGCTATGCTATATGTCTGGAAAGTCACTCTGGTTGGCTAATATTGTCAGAAAGGTCAGGGTATATGGGCTAGGAGTTACTGCTATGTGGAATCAGGGCAGCAGAAAAGAGGCAGTTAGTGTGATATGAAATTCTGCCATCCCATTTCAGCTCTACTTCTTCTTCCTGTGTCTTCTTTTACTGCTGAAGGACCAGCCTTACTTCTCCACACTCAGAGTGGCAAAATTCATTTTCATGTATGTTGCTGAGAGGTCTTGATCTGGTTCCAAAAGCAGTTATGTTAGCAGAACAGAAAGCAATTCAATTGGCATTATAAGAAACCTATTTATATGACCTTTATAAATGTTCATTGTATTTTTCCACTTTTCTAGATGAATGAATGCCATAAAAGAAAGTCTGATGTGATGAAAAATTCATAGAGTTTAAGACCTTTGAATTTCTGCTGATAGCTCTTTTATTGTCAAATTTGGCAATATCTTTTGAGAGGTACATCCGGTTTTAATTAAAGACTTCAAATTACAGATAATCCATCATATTCTTTGAAAAGCTCTTCCAGTCTTAATTACAACCACTGTTAATAATGTACAACTTATACATCATTAAAGTTTGAGCTTCAGGTTCCAGCTATTTGATCATTTCATACCTCCTGCTGTTAATTTATGAACCCTTCAGCGTGACCTCTCTTGTAATGATCTATAGACTGGTCAACTTGCATCCTAACTTTATCCTCCAAAACTTAAATAGAGTCAGTCTTCTCTTTAACATGGGTCAGCTAAGAACCATCCACTGCCCTGAAGTAATATTCAGGCTAATTTTTAATGTATCAGCTTAAATCCCACAAGGAACAGCTTCATTAACAGAGTATGTTATCTATTCCAGTTAACTAAACTTGCTAGAGCTAGCTTGGGTACTAGTAGTGCAGAGCTACACTGTGTTATGCAGACATAACCGACCTCTCTGGCAGCACTTACAAGTTAAAAACAATGATAATAAAGGTGTTCAGAATAACAGATGGAGAAGATACTTTAAAAGAAAGCTGCATGTCAGAATGCATTCGCAGGAAAAACTGTATTAAAAGGGGAATCTTCCCAAAATCGTGCCTTTGAAAAATCTGGGCTAAATCCAGAACTGAAAAAAACCCCCGTATTCTAGGGTGTGAGAGAACACAGGTCACTGTTCTGTCTATAATCCAGCCTAAGTTAATAGCAACTTATTGGTATATTTTTATGACTTTATTATTTCTGCACCATTTTCCTCACATGAATTAAAGGAGGCCAGTAGCAATCTAATTAACATTTAGCAAACTAACTGTAAAAATTGACCAGTAACTGTAAGTGCTTGGGAATGTGTTTTTCACAATAAAATAATTATAAAAAAAAAAAAAAAAAAAAAAAAAAAAAAAAAAAAAAGAGCCTTAAGGTGCAGCTGGTCCTTTCCCCCAACACACTCTGGTGCAGGGAGAACACAGTCCAGAAGGCTTTACTCCAGCCACAGCCATGACTGGTGATGCTCAAGCCAGCTTGAGTGTTACAGGGACCGCTCAGCACTGTCTGGTGGAGACCCCACAAGTCTGACTGACCTGCTCCTCTCGCGAGGATAAGCCCAGGCACCACCCAGAGCAAATGTCACCTTGCTGTGCCCAGCTACTTCCCTCTGTAAACAAAAGCGATGCCTGGCTTACAGCCAAGTCAAAGAGAACCAGATTCCAAAAAGAATCAACCCTGGTGTACCATGGTTTCGCTGGCTACATTGGAACAGCTGCCTTCAACCAGCCTGGATGTCACTGTCCCACAAGCCACGGGCACCCGCTGTCACTGACGAACGTTGATCATGCAATGAGTAGTAACAGAGCTGCTCTGTTGGCACCGCACTGGGTTTTGCCGTTTCCTCTTTCACTGGCAACTTGTTCTTCACTCACAAGGCAAGGCAAGGCCAAATTCACAAGCAGGCTGCTTCACAGGCGCTCAGTTCTTCCATCGGATTTGCTAAAAGAGAGAACGAGACATGACTAACATCAGTGCTGAACACAGATCCCTCAGGGGAAAACTTAGCGAGTCCCAATCCCCAACAAGTACAACTATGGCCAGAGGGTGCTATTTCTATTGGTTTCACCCTTCATTCCTACACTAAATGCAACCCCAAACCTAAGATTAGCTTCCCAGCAGGGATAAAGAGTATGCAGGATAGCCATGCCCTTACACCTAATCCACGGCCATTTCTGATGAGAGTCTCTGGAAGAAAAAGCAGGCATTTCTTACCATGTTGTTGAGAATGCTGTTTATCTTCTCTTCATCTGCAGAGCCTCGCTCCACCTTGCATTTATATGCTGTCAGCTGGATGCGATCCTTTAGATCCCTGTACGTCTAGATAAACAGCAAAACCAGCACCCAGCTTACACAGTTAGATGATGCCCTGCAGACAAGGTGAGCAACTCCCCAGGTTCCCACCACAGCACAATTCCACAGCACAAAAGCTAGAAGCCACACACTGGCTCAACTTGGCTTCCCCTGAGAATCACATAATTGCTCCCAGGCCACAGGGATAAAGAAACCCCACCAGGCATGTGACAGCAGTGGCACATAGCAGAGCACAGGAAAGCCAGGGAGAAAAAGCAGCCTCTTGTTCCGTCTCTTCACCCACACAGCAGAGACCTACCTCAATGACAACATCATGGCACTTGTATTTGGTGGCGAGGTTCAACCGTGTCTCCACATCCTCCACCAGGCGCACATACTCCTGCAGCACCTGCAAGGGAAGGAAGAGTGTCCCAGCTCCCTTCCACAGGTACCTCCTGCCTTGTTCTCTCACTCCAGTCACAAAACATTTCAAGGTCACTGGTCACACAGACATGACCCCTTCCTTCCTAAGGCAACAAGTGACCAAGACAAAACCAGGACAAGACTCCTCAGGACCCCGGAGGCAGTAAAGCTTTTCTCACAAAGCTCAGAGTCCTAGGCTACCTTGTTCCTGTGGACCAGGTTAACCATTGCCAGCCAGATGAAGCACAAGCAAAGTTAACGCAGCAGACAAAGGTGGCAATACACTGCAGGGAGAAAGCTCCCAGACAACTCCTGCAGTCAGACCTAGGCCCCAGCCCTCAGTGCCACCCACATTTCCTGTGGATGCATGGGTCACTCAGCCGAGCGCTGCACCCACCTGGCAGAGCCAGCAGCCCGGCAGGCTCTCAGCTAGGAAGCAGCTCACTTGGGGAATCAGTCACACCCCAAATCCCAACAAAGAGCAGCAGGACACAAGCAGCGGTTCCTTGCTCACCTGCACAGGAGCATTGTTCCTCTGCAAGATCTCCACCACTCGGTGGAAGCCAATAGGTGCTTTCTTCTTGGTGTACCCCAGCCAGTTCTGAAACGAGCACCAAACCCTAAGTTAATCCTAAAGGGCAATCCCTCCAGCACAAGGAACTGTTTTTCCCCTGTGCTAGCAACGTACGCCACGCCACCAGCCACCACATCTACCACTGGCAGAGCCCTTCATGCGGTGGCTGGGTGCAGGTTGGCTGCCAACCCTTTGGTAACAGAGCACAGGGGCAGCTCCCTTCTCTGACCTTGCTGCTGTAGCCAAGCCAGGCCCAGCAGAGGTCCTAGGCAGGGAGAAGAGGAACGTATTGTAACACCCTCCAGCAGAGGTGCTGGGCCCTGCTGAAATAAAACCAGTCTGTCCAGTAGCTCCAGAACAAGCCAGCTATCAGTAGTAGGTATCAGTACTTGGAACTGACTCCCCAGCAAGCCTTTCCACAGCTCACCTTGGTGGTGAAGAGGGCATCCACATCATCCCAGGCTCGCAGCTTGGCACGGGCAGCCAGGGCAGTCAGCACATACTGCTTATCAGGAATCTGCAAAGCAGAAAGGTGCAGTCAGGGCTCTAGCACAGCTCAGAAGGTCTGTGTGAGTCAGACAGGAATGGCATCTGCCTCCAGCCCTGTCAGGACCCACACCAACAGCCAGACAAAGAGGTGAGATGCTGCCTGAAGCCAGGGCCAGCACTGCAGAGAGCAGGAGGTGGGGATTCTCAAGTGCTGCTGCAGCCAGGGTGCACCCAGTGAAAGCCTCCAGGTGGCTCCCCCACTTGCCCTTCCAAGCCTCCAGAATGGCCCTGCTCAAGGAGGATGCCATGCCCCCCTCACTATCTCAGTGCTGAGCCCTTCAAACCCCTCCTACCCACACCCCTGGCTGAATACAATTTGGCTGCCAACATTTTCAGCCAGTGCTGCCACAACAGCAGGAGACTCACATACCTTAAACGTTTTCTTCAGGTTGGTCGGGCTGCTGAATGTTCCCTAGAGAGAGCAGACAAATCAATGCAAACTCAGCAGAGCAGGTGTCAGGAAAGGTTCAGCCACATATTGTAAGGCACATGCCTCACACAGGGTGAATCTCCCCAGTTTTTTACTGCTTCTTGCTCATGTCAGTGCCACAGAAGGAAACAGGTGGCAGAAAAGAGTAACTATCCCACCTCATTAGCTCTCTGGTTTGGTTTCCCCTACATCCTCAACTGGTGCACTTTCAAAACCACCTCACCACACACCTCATCCTTATGGGATTAAGGGCCAATTCCAGCTCCTTGGAGCCAGAAGTAAAAGACAGTTGTTTTTTAGGAGGCAACTCCCTGACGGGCTGTCCCAGTTTGAATGTCCCATCTTACAGCACAAAAGAAAACTACAAACTGGACCCAGATGGACAAGGAAAGCCAGGTTCCTCTAGGTCTCTCTGAGGTGTGAAATATGACCTCCTTCCCCTTCTTTCCTTAAGATGCCCCAGCTTAACCACCCCACATATTGAGGGCTACAGGGATGAGATGTAACCCTTTCTCTTCTCCCACATCATCCTCACCTCAGCCTCTGTGTAGTGGTAGAAACAGGAATAGAAGAGGGTGGTCACTAGTGGCATGTTGAGAATTGAAGCCTTACGAGGATATTTCCGAAATATCTCTGACTGCCCAGCTGACTCCAAGTGCCGATCATTGGCCTGTGGAAACACAAAGACAGAGGGTGAACATAGGCCTGAACCACCTGAGCTACCTGTGGGGTAGAGACCTGGGGAGGGTGCCGTGATAGCAAAGGACAAGCACAGCCTCAACGTGCCATGAAATCTCAGGCCTGGTATTCCACACATGGGCCTGGCACAGCGACTTGGACAGCAGTTAAGCTACACTAGCCAGGGCAGGCTGGTTAGATCCAAAGCAGTGTAAATTAGGGACAGATAGAGATCTCACAGCTAGTCCCAGTCATCTCCTGACCAGCAGGGAAGATTTCATACCTCAATGATGATCTGTCGCTCCAACAGGGTGTAATGGTCTTGAATGTGGGATGTATCCTCAGCTGAAAATGGCAGCCTGGCCAGACATGGAGGAAGGAGACACTATCAGTGGCTCTTAACACAGTACACTTAGAAGGATGCTCTTCTCTACCAAAGATGCTCCCTACGCACAGACAGAGATGTGGGGAACACCTCCTGTTCTCCCCAGCCTGAGTGGCTAGTAGGTACTCAGGCTCCTGTCCCACTGCCCTCTCCAACCGGCTCTCTCCCAGACAGGCTCTAGAGAAGGGAAAATTATGTGGCATCTCTCACAGAACAACCTAAAGCTGATGCTACCAATTTCCTCAAGTACTCAGGGACCCAAGCTTTCATCCTTCACAACCTGAAGGATCAATGATCAGAAGGTCCCTGCAGTGTATTTGCCCACAAGCAAGAAAAGCTGCTGGACTAGAGATCACCACAAATTCTTCCTCTCTGGACTATATTCTGTCCACAACACCCTACCCCCAACTCAACAACCCAAAACCAACATGAGTTCTCAAACTACATAAACTGTGGCACTGGGACAAAGGTCTAATTTTCTTTATTACCACTTTTTGTGAAGCACCCACATCCTTCCCACACTCTCGCATTTTTTCTTACCCAATGCAGCCTTTCAGAAATTCCCTCCTTTTTTCTACATCTTGGATGTTCAAATGTTCCCGGTACTGGGACAGCTGGAGGGAGAGGAAAAAGAAGCAGTCTGTTCTCACAGATTTGGGAGATACAAGACTCCAAAAAGCAAAATGGGGATGCAAAGCTCTTGCCTGACTAGCAGACACCCTGCAGCCAGCCTCCCCCAGCCCTACGCTCGCTCTTCACTGAGGAAAGGGAGCTTCTGCTCCTGGGAATACTCACAGCAACTTCCTCGGTCCTGTCTAGGAACCTGCAAAAGGGAATGGGCAAGCATTAACTTGGAGACAGGTTCCTAGCTGCCTGCTCAGCCCCACCACAAGGGCTGGGCAAGAGCCTCACCTGAGCAGATCCAGAAGCAACTTCTGCTCACCCGTCTCTTTGAGGAAATGGATGAGGTGACATAAGGCCACCTGCCGCACCTCCAGCTCCCGAAACAAGATCTCTACAGGAGACAGAGAGATGTAGAGGTGGGTAAAGCGAGTTAGCACTAGCAAGCTATAGGGGGCTAAGCATGATGCATGGAGTTGGAAGCTGTTAGCAGGATTCAACCTTATCCCATCTTAAAGCACAGTCTTGGAGGTTAGAGCACAGAAAAGCCCATTCATTAGGCTCTCAGCTGAATTCACAGCAGTGTGCTACCCCTACAGATTCTTTTTCATTCACCTCATCGCCACCACCACCACCTATCCACTGCTCAAAGCTCCTCTCTGGAGCCTTTGGGGGCATTATCGTACCCCCTCCCATCTTATACTCGCTGCAAAAATATTTCATGCTCAGTAAAGCAGCAATATCCCAGATGCTCTCTTCATGACTTGCACCCAGTGAGAGAACTCTGCCCTTAACTGAAACACGCTATAGAAACCCTGGCTCAAGCCACACTTACCTCTCCTTAGCGTCCGTTTCAGGAATATCAGGACCTGTGAGCACAGAGAGGCAGCTCTCAGCTGATCAGATCAGTCTTCACCAGAATTCAGACAGACAGACAGACAGCAAACTGGTCAAGGCCTGGGGAAGCTTTTGCAAAGGGCCTCTGAAGACACAGCTCTTACAGCACTGAACTGAATTCTGCTACCCACTAGACACAGGACAAGCAGTGAGCCAGGGCCACAGCTGTCTGGATGCCTGCCCAAGCTCCTACTCTGGAGCTTAGATAAGCGAGACCAAGATTTACGAAGAAAAGCCTTTCCATGAAAGATCCAAGGGCTTAAAAGACCTGGATGAGGGAATCTGACACAGTCCCATTTGTTGCCTGATGCTTTGGAAGTCAGATAAACTGGAAAAGCCCTTCAAATCTTCTGTGCTGCAAGCTTCAAGAAGCTGCTGCAAAGATCTATAAGGCTGAAGGATCAGGTTCCTCAGTATTAACCCAACGTGAATCCTGCAGAGTGGCAGGAAAGCCAGCAGGAATATGGAATTTCCCAGTCTTAAGCTTTGACACTTCTCATTACTTCTTGGTTTTAAGTGAAGAACCCCTCCCCCTATTGCAAGAATAGGTGGCCAACTGACTGCATTCACACAAGCACCCTCTGTGGGGTCACCCAGGAAGTCCCAGCCCTGTATGGCCCCAGCAGGACTCACAGCTGTAATGACGTTCCCATCATGCCCTGCCACCGCCTCATCCAAGAGCACCAGCTTATCCTGCAGCGAGCGAAATCTCTCTAGAGAGCAGATCTGCAGACAGAAGAGACATAAGTAAGCATATGGGACATCAGACAAGCCCCAGCCTGAACCAGCCCCCAAGGTACTACCTATTCTTCCCCCATGAGCCCTTAAGTAACACGAGTAACTGTCCTCCCAACCAGCAGAGAACTTCTCATTTAGCTGAAACCCTGTGCTACATAATCCCCGTGAATCTGTCCAGAGGGGCTGCAGAGTTAGCCCTCATTACTGCCCAGGCAAGGAGAGCAGACATGGTACGTTCAGCACTAACACCCTTGTATTCTAAGAAGGCAAAACTGCCCTGCACACCACAAACCACCAGCCCTGACAGCAGGAAGGAACGCTGCAGGGCTCTTTCCATAGAGGAGACCAGAAAAGTAAAGTTGTAAGATTCTTCCTCCCTTCTTAACCCATAATTGTGGCCTTCAGTTCACCTCAGCCTTTGAGGAGACACATGCAGCGTAAAACCACAGGTCTGCTGTGTGCTCAGGGCAAACTGAGGCAGCTGAGCCCAAGATTCCAGCTCCAGCATAACCCAAGATTGATTCTGCCTTCCCCCCTCCATTTGCCATCAACTAAGAAGGGAAGTAAAGCCACCCACCCTTGGATTTTTCCCATAAACCCAGCTCCAGGGAGCAGAAAGGGTAGAGAGGGACACAGAAGCACAGATGCCTCCTGTCAGAGCCTAGCTGAGGGGACAACTCAAAGAAACAACACAACAAAACCCTCAAGTTCTGCTGCTGCTCCTGAGCTAGTGTGACCCCAGCACTGCCACCTGGCAAAGCACTGTCCCCTCCAGATGCTGCCAGCAACACGGATTCCCTCCCTGCTCCCAGAACAGCCAGGAGCATAGGGAAGTGTAATGCAGTTTAGGACCACCCACCTTCTGTCTCTTGCAAGCAGGTGAGAGTGGAAAGTCCTTACCTTGCCCCTCTGCATTCGCCTGACCGTATCTTTGGGGCTCCAATCACTGCTGTAATCCTGCCATGAGAAAAATAAAGAGCTCTTGAGCCTCAAAAGGCAGATCACACCAGCAGTGCCCAAGCTGCTTTCCACTTGTGCTGGATCAAAGCGATGGCCCACGTGTAGCTTCTCAGATTCATCACTCAGCTGCTCCAGGGCAGCTGTTAGTAGGACGTGTCCCTGCAGTGTTCAGGTGCACTGTTCAGCTTGGTGGGGAGGGAAACTAGAGGCTCAAAAGTTAACACAGAATCTTTCCATTGCCTCAGTAATGTCTGGCATCACATCCTTTATAAGGAGTGCATTTCAACAGGTTGTCCTCCTTGCAAATTAAAGCTCCAATGTTGCTTGAAGGACAAGCAAAATACATGCGAAACTGACAAACCCAAAACTGAAGGGGAAGGAGTCAGTTTCTTGCCACAATTCAGATGGACTTCTGCTGGTGAACCTTCCACAGCAGTGTGGAGAGTGCAGGGACAGCAGCCTCAGACAAGTGCCTGGAGAGTCGCACAGGACTAGAGCAATATGACAAAGGCACGGAAGCCTGTAGTGAGACCACCTTAAGGTAATATGCGACCGCTGCTACAACGACCAAAGTTCTCCCCCTGCAGATGCCACGATCCAGAAGCACTGGATAAAAAGTAGTGGTGGCCTGAGCTACTCCTGACCTCAGGCTCCAAGAAGGCATCTAAGTCTTTGTGAGGCTCTTCTGAGCCTTCTGCCTCAAAAAGGCCAGAGAAAGGGAGTAACCAGAATCAGCTCTAAGGACACTGAATTGTTAAATTCTTTGAAGATTTATTGAAAGCCTGAATCTAAAGAAAAAAAAAGGCCCACCCAATCCTATTAGGGGACCACTCCACACGAGTCTCTCAAACAAATGTAAAGCTGAATGCCAAGTGTCCTGAGCACCAGGGTTCCCCCCAGCACCTCCAGCCAAGGCAGGTCCTCAGCCTGTCACTGTCAGGACACTGGTTCAAAGCTGCCACCAACTTTCCCATCTTTGTTCCACCCCACTCACAATACTCCTGCCAGCTTTTAAGAGACTGTACAATCTTTTTCCTTCCTGCTTCACTGCTGGCACACAACAGGGCACATTTATTTCTCCTGCTCTGCTTTCAGGAAGTGCTGCTTGTTAGGTTATGTGATTAATGGCTAATCAACATAAACACACCAACCTGGTGGGGATCAGGTGAGGTTCACCTGAGGACAGGTGGAGAAAACCCAGTAACCTAATCAGTGCAATCTGAGCACGCTGACTTGGCCACTTCTTGCCACCATCAAATGAGACAGATTAGGTCATTATCCATTGCATAAAACCCTCCAAGATAACTAAACCAAAGAAACATTCCCCAAATGCCATGCACATGGCACAGGAGGCACAGGACTTTCTATGAGATGCAGGGCAAATAAAATCCTGGCACATTTTAAGAGGGTTGTGTAAATGTGTGAGGCTTATTATGGAAGTTTACAGGAAAGATAAGAAGCAGGGAAAGAGAAGGATCAAAATGAATTGGGCAGGAACAAGCACAGGAAAACAGAGGGTAAAGGGGCCATACAGCACCAGCCAAGTTTAAACCAGTGGCTAGTTAGTCTGCCTGTCTGACTAAGCCCTGCAATGGATCACTGCAGTTGATTTTATATTCTCATTAAATTCTATATTTAACCAGCTTCTGTGTGGGTGGGCTCTCTACTGCAAGTGCATGTGTCTGTATGAATGCTAGCGAACTTCAAGCTCAACCAGTGAGTAGAATAAGCAGCCTGAGCACCAGGAACCGGAATGGGACCATGAACTCTAGGGACTCAAGGGTCCAGATGCCAGCAACTGGAGGAGACTGAGGTCTGGGACGCAGCTATAAAAAACCCTGGATGTCTATGACCAGCTACTGGAGACATCCATAGAGTGTGTCTATGTCCCACTAGTGGAATTCAATCCTGATCAGACAGAAAGGAGGCTCAGGATCAGGCTTGAGTTGTGCGTTCATGTGTCTGTTGGTAAAGGCATTGGTTTCTCTCTGTGACAATGGGTGTGGGCAGCTGTGTCAGTATTGTACATGTCTGTATCTGCTGGGAATATGAGCTCAGTCCTGTTACTGGATGGACCTGGGGACATGGAACCACAACCTCACACCTAGTAGAAGGAAACCACCCGGTCCCAAAATCCACTATATTCTGCAACACCTAACGCTGCCTATCTGGGAGAAGAACATTTCTGCCAACTGGAACTCCACCTCTGTGCAACTCCCTCTGTGCTGTCCCAGTGATTCACGAACAACAAATTTAGAAGCCTTTAGATTTAAAAAACTTTAAAAGCACACATGATGCCAATTCATCTGACCTGGCATGAAAGCAGCTTACAGGCAAAGCAGTATTTAGAAATCCTTTTCACATAGACTGCTGGACTATTCAGTAGGAGTAACTAAGACCCCCAGCAAAGGTCTCTGCTTCTGAGGAAAAAGAGAGACCACCTAAATTACTGTGAGGCTGCATTTTGCAGCTCCTGTCCTAGTCCCTACATTGCCCTCTGCTGTCTGAAGTAGCGATTAATTACTTCCCATGAAACCCATAGAGAAGAAAGTCCTCCTGGCAGGACTCTGATCTCAGCACACTGCAAACAGGCTGCTCACCTTGTACTCAGCTTTCGGTCTGCGCAGCTCTGGGGCGTAGTTTTTAACTCCTGTGTCAGAGAGGGCTGAGAAGGAAAGGCAAAGCTCAGTAGCACATCAAAATCCTGATTCATGCCCACTTCCAAAACCACTCTTTTCTTGGTTTTCGTGGTAGAAGACCCCCCCCCAATAAAGCACCAAGTGGCAATACAAAGTTGCTCTAAACCCAACAGTCATCAGTTGTACATAAGAAGATTACCCCAAACCATCATGCCAACTCACTTCTTTGCTGAATGACTTTCAGACAACCCACGATTCAGTTTCCCTTTTTGCAACAAAAGGAAGGTGACGCTTCCCCTTTTTTTTGGAAATGCTTTTGCTTGCGTCAATCTGCACCCTTCCAAAAATAAGGCATGGATTCAAAAACTTACCATCTGAAAGGGACTGAAAACTTGGAAGTTTGTTTCGCCCTGAAATGAAAACAAACACTTGTGAGAGGCTTGTCTCTTCACCAGCAAAGCAAAGAGAACACAAGCCCAGACTGCAAGCCAGCATGCTGCAGAACAAGCTACTCTGTATACAATGACCCACACCAGCACAGCTGGGGCTCAACTGCTGCAGTTAAAAGCTTTGAAGTTGCCTGTGGCATCACAAGCAGGCCCTATCTGTGTGCTTGTTGCTAAGGCCAGGGGAGGTGAGAGAGCCTGAATTTGCTCATCTACCTGCAGAGCCGAGGCTGCAGCACACAGCACTGCTTAGTCTGTGGCAGCCGGGACAGCTTCACTCCCCAGAGCAGTGATATGGATGCCTATCACTGTATTGACAAAGTTGAGAGTGAAAAACCACCCCAGAGAAAGAGAGACAAAGTAAAAGCTGGTTTCTTGCCTGGCTGTGAGACAACAGAGCTGAACTTTTGCAAGCTGCCTAAGTCTCTCCATGGCCTGCCGTGCAGCTCCCTGCATAACCAGCTATGCTACCACTGCTCCTACCATGTCTTTGCTGAACCAACTGTAACTCCAACAGCAGCCAGCTGAGCTCCTAATAAAGAATAATAACCTGTCATGTCTACAGTACTGAAGATCAAATGAGGGCTGCATGGGTCAAGTCATTCCCTTTGTTCATGCAAAGAGATAGCTGTACAGTGCTTGATCCACCTTGGTGGAACCTGGCTTTTAAGAAGCCATAGCCTCCAAAGCCCCCTCCCATACCACAAGACCATGCGATCTTCTGCACAAGACAGTATCCCATTTCTGACCAGTGAGGAGAGATCAGGGCTTCCCTGTTTTGCAATACACTTAAGAGAAAACGATTTACGTAAGAACACAGTTGGCTCTTGACGCTCTTGAAAGAAAACTCATTTGTCCGCATTGTATATGAGGAACCTCACCTTTGAATAAGCTGCTTAGGGAGTAGGAGGAAACTTGTTTGGGAAAAGCAGCATAGGAGGAAGAGCCCTTCTGTAGACTGGAGTCTCGGCCCTCCAGCGAGCTAGTGCTGCTGGAGGATGTCTCTTTGATTGACCAGGATATACCTACGTGCAGACAGAAGTCATTTAAAACAAAGAAAGAGAAAACCAATAAAGAATGATCTTAAGGCATGGCAGGAATGTTACCAAGTGTGTCCTGGTCAGTTTTGCACTAGCACATCCCAAGAACTTTAGCTCTCAGCACTAAGCAGATGCAGAGCACAGAATTCCAATCTCGTGTAATACTGCTTGGTAAACAGTTGGGTGTTATCCTCCAGAAATGGTTGATTTCAGCAATATTGTACAGCTGGTTATGGTTTACAAAACAAAAATGCATTGACCACCCAACATTTATATGTTGTTGCATGAGGTAAAGTATAAGCCTTGCTCTAAAGGTAAAGAGTGAGCCAGAGAATCCCTGGGTTACCTCAAATCACAACAGCATAAGAACATACCTTCCTGAACAATAGAAAACTAATATCATTTTCTTCCCCACACAGACAAAACAGCTAGCAATGCTGGCAACAATCCATGCATATGTCTCCCTCCTGCTTGTTCTAGGTGCAGTTTTCTCTTTTTTTCACACAGCTGCACAACATACACATTTTAGGACAGACAAAAAAGCCAATAGGTAGACACCTTGGATGGGAAAAGAAACAGCCTGAACCAGAAGGCAGAGCTACAGCACAGGACAAGAAGAGCAGACTCTTTGAAGGTCCTCTGGGTGATCAAAATGTAAATTTTCACATATTCTGTGGGTCATGAACTCCAAAGCGCAGCAGACAGCATTGTGTGTGGGTCATGAGCTCACTCCCATCATCATTAGAAACACATTCGCTTAATGCTAACAATTCCCTTTCAAACTTCAAGCGCAAGAGTCAGTCCATAAACACACACTAAACCTTGAAATATCTCCTTAAAATGCTGCAGGAACAAAGCACAGAGAACTTTAAATGGTGCTAGTGGTGTGTATATTGGCGTCTGCATTCCAGGTAAACAACCCTACTTTGGGACAACACTATTTTAGGCCACAGCGTGAAGGAAAGGATCACCCAGATTCCTGCAGGCCAGCTGAGCGTGATGAATATCAAGCCATAACCTCCAAAATATCTGCTCTAAGATGGGCTATATATTGGGAAAAACACAGCTATTTCCCTCCACTTGTCTGCACTCCTCTTCTTTATGTAATTTGGGCTTCTGCTAGTTGTCTTTCCAGTGGATCCACACAGGTAAATCAAGTGGCTGACAACATGACCCGAGGAGAATAGAATTAGACTAGATATGCAGGATTGGATAGCAAGCAGTACTCCTGACCTCGACTAAATGACACGATTTAAGTGGTAATTTTAAACTCCCTCTGTCTCAAGGATAACTTGCAGTACTGCTGCACTTACTTCCCACAGGTTCCCCGCTCCAGCTGACCCTCTCAAGGTCGTCATCATCATCATCGACGATATCCCGAAGGCTATTCACTGCCCGTTTGGATTCCTTTAGCTATGGACAAAAGAATGAGCTTGTATAAAGACCGCCAGTGTTGCAAAGCGTGCTTTGTTTCCTATTACCTTCAAACTATCCCCCCTGCTTCGGGCCCCAGCTCTGAATACAGATGAAGCCTTCCTTGGCTTCCACTGCCTCTTCTGGGGGAGGCATTTCAGGCCTGCACCTCAGGCCTAAACCTTTGGATTCCTCACCACTGGGAATCCAAAGGTCACCGACACCTACACGGACACTGACAGCTCAACCTGCAGGAGATGCCGTTTGGTGGACGGGCGAGGAACCACCCGAGGTTTCAGGCTGGCGACTGTAGGGGCGAGACGGGAACCCTGGGCGGCCTCCCGGCCGTCACTGAGGGTGAACCACCGCCCCCGCTCCTGCTCCCCGACCACCGCCCTCGCTCCTGCTCCCCGACCACCGCCCTCCCGGCCCCGCCGCCCCCCGGGATCCCGCTCACCTCTCCCGCGCCAGGCACCGCCACCGGCTAGGCACGGTCAGGGAGGGAAGGGCGGGAGGCTGCCGCGCAGAGCACGCCGGGACTTGTAGTCTCCCCATACCGCAGCCCGCCCCGCCGCTTCCCTCCCGGCGCACTACGAGTACCGGCGTACCCCGCGCTGCCGCAGGGGCCGGACTACAAATCCCGGCGGGTCGCGCGCGGCCGTGCGGTGCTCGGGCCGGGCTGCTGAGGGCCGGGCGGCCGGGCTTAAGGAGGCGGTAAGGTGCGGGGCGGCCCGCTCCGGGAGCTGCCTACTGTTGGGGGGACGTGGCGGGAGCGGCAGCTGGAGGAGGCGCGGCGGAACCAAAGAAGCCCAGTGAGGCGGAGGGGGGGGAGGGCGCCGGAAGGGACCGTGCCGGTGACGGAAGCCGGGAGGTGGTGCGGCGGCCGGCGGTTCTAGCAGTTTCCACGGGCGGTCGGCGCGGAGGAGGAGGCGGCGGCGGCGGTCCCGATGGCCAAGTGGGGGGAGGGAGACCCGCGCTGGATCGTCGAGCAGCGGGCGGACGCCACCAACGTTAACAACTGGCATTGGTGAGCGGGGGGGGGGCCGGGCGCGCCCGGGAGGCCCCCGTCCCGCTGAGCGGAGGGAGGCTGCCCGGCCGGTGTCCCGGGAAGGGGCTCTTTCCTCTTCTATGAGAGCAGCTGAGGTGGGGGTGTCCGGGGTGATGCCCCGGGAAGGGCCTCGTCTCTGTGGGGGTGCGTGTGTGGGTGCCCCGGGGGGTGCCCGGTGCTGTTGGAGGGAGGGAAGGAGGGGGGGGGAAGGCTCGGTGGTCCCGGTGTGTGCTGCCGGTGTGGCCTGTCCCAGATTCTCAGCCTCGGTGTCCCGTCCCCCCCGGCTTTCCCGCAGGACGGAGCGGGATGCCTCCAACTGGTCCACGGAGCGGCTGAAAACTCTCCTGCTGCCGGTGAGGGTGGAGGGCGAGGAAGGGGCTTGTGAGGTGACAGAAGTGAGCAAACTGGATGGAGAGGCCTCCATCAACAACCGCAAAGGGAAACTCATCTTCTTCTACGAGTGGGCCATCAAGCTGGCATGGACTGGTGAGTGGTGTTCTCCCCTCCTGTTTCAAAGCCAGATTCAAGTACAAGGCTAAGGATAAGCGTACTAACTTCCTTTAGTAAATAATAATAAAGTGAAGTATTGTATTGTGATACAATAAAAGTTTGGTTTTACAACAACCAGAGTAAGAAATGTTCATCTCAACAACGTAATTGTAATTGCAGGCACCTCAAAGACAGGAGTGAAATACAAAGGTTATGTGGAGATTCCTAATCTCTCAGATGAAAATGACATCGATGAAGTTGAGGTGAGCATAGCTACAGGCTAATACTGCTGGCTGGCTGGCTGTTCTAACGGGAATTCTCACAGCATTAATATTTCCTTCCATGTTACCTTTTTTTAGAACATTTGCGTAGAACTTTTTTCATTTTAGAGACTGCTTAAGTTAATAGAATCATAGAATGGTTAGAGTTGGAAGGGACCTTAAAGATCATCTTGTTCCAACCCCCCTGCCATGGGCAGGGACACCTCCACTAGAGCAGGTTGCTCAAAGCCCCATCCAGCCTGGCCTTGAACACCTCCAGGGATGGGGCATCCACAACTTCTCTGGGCAACCTGTTCCAGTGCTTTACCACCCTCATAATAATGTGGTGAATAAAGAGTTTCTTTCTTGTATCTAGTCTAAATCTTGCCTCTTTCAGTTTAAAACCGTTACTCCTCATCCTGTCGCTACACTCCCTGATAGAGTCCCTCCCTATCACATTGTATCTTTATCAAATTAATTCCTGTCTTCTAGATAAAAGGGCTTTATAGCACATGAAGGTATTTAAATAGGCTGGGAGAGATGAAGTGAAAGATTAATAAAACTGCACAGTTGCTTGTGAAAGTTTAGCCAGAGTCTAGCTGTGATGTTGAATTGAGTAATAAAAAGACGTGCAAGTATGGGTTTGTTAATCAGCACTTGTCAATGTTGTTTAGATCAATGTCAGCCTTGCTAAAGATGAGCCTGACACTAACTTGAAGACCCTGATGAAGCAAGAAGGCACAAAAAAAATTAGAGATGCAATGAAAACTTATATCAGCACTCTTAAAACAGGTATGTACCTGAAAGGGAGAAGTGTTATGGGAACCCATATGGGTTAATGCTAAAGACAGGATGGGGGTAACGAGAGGAGTGAATACTAGTTCTTCACCCGGTCTCAACAAAAAGGTGTCAGAGCAAAAACAGTAACTTTTCTGTCTGTCTTGAAAATGGTTAGCATTTGGCCAGAAGCGCTTCTGTCTCTAGATACTGTAGCACAGCCCGGAAGGATTGTTGTGATAATCCAATAATAAACAGCATTTTTGGATTTATGTTTTAAAAATGAGAATGTTCTTCACGTTCTCTGTAGCTCAGCTATAGAGAAAATTAAGCCAGTAAAGGCATCTGGTGTTACTTAGATTTGAGAATAACCAACAACTGGAAATTGCTCTGCAGGTTTTGTTAGTGTCATTGAATAAGGTGTCTCAGCGTCTGGATCAAAATTATTTTTTTAGAAGATAAATCTGGTTTCAGCAGTTGGAGTTAACTCAGTGTATGTTGTTTGAGTTTGGATTTGCTCTCTAGAATAGGCTGGGAACACTACAGTGTCCATGTGCCTGTATTACACTATGGGCTAGATTTTCAAGTTTTGCTGAGTACAAACCACCACTGGTTGCTGTTTTTCAGGGTCAAATTTCTGTACCCTTGCTTTTTATCAGGCTTTTTAGTGTTTAGGGTGGGAGACACGGTCACCCAGTGGAAGATGAGAATGTTACTCAGAAAGAACTGTAAGATCTTGTGGGCTGGAATAAATAAGAATAGGTGGGAGCTAAGAATTGCAGGATACGAGATTATACACATACAATAAAATTCTGCTATATAATGGAATTTTGCCAGTTTGAACAGATGAAGAGGAAAGAGAAAGAGCAAACTGTTTTATAATTGGTAAAGGCAGAAGCAGTAGAGCTTGGAGCAAAAGCAAACATGGTGCTGAAAGAGACTGAAGCTTCTGGTGGAGTTATAAAAGTGCTAGTGTTGCCTAACAGGGTGCTGGTGGGACCTCGCCTGGGTTTCTGTGTGTAGTCCTGGCAACTGGTGTCAGAAAAGATAAATTGAAGATGGAGTTAGAAGTAACTTTATTTGTATTACAGTGATATGAGAAATGGAGAACCAGAGTCTGAAAAGAAATGGAAAAGCTTGGTTTGGTTTGTCTAGACCAATAAAATGAAAGTATCTGAGATGTGATTGCTTGTTTATATTAGAGAGTGAGAGAGGGGAAAAAAGCTACATAAGTGTAAGGCTAGTGTTAGTACGAGAGCAACGTGTGGACGATAGTGATGGGTATGTCTAGGTGAGGAAGAAGAGGTAAGTTCCTAACTCTTAGTGTAGGCAGGTTCTGATACGGCCTTCAGTGGAGAGTAGTGAAGGCAAGAAGTATTAATTGCTTGTAAAAAGAGGTCTGTATACTTTTTTTAGAAACTGTTTCAAGTGGTGGGTGCTAGCAAAAGCAGGGGAGAAACCAGGAAGCCCTGTTTGATTGTGCATTTCAAAGAACAGTTAAAAGGTTTACTTGATCTTTTATTAGTTTCATGGGTGTATTCCTGTCTTTCCAGAATTCACCCAGGGCATGATTTTGCCCACAGTGAATGGTGAACATATGGAAACAACACCTCAGGTGGCTCCTAAAGCAGAAGACCGCAAGGTAAATAAAACCATGTGAACATGCTTTTGCATCTATGAAAAAAGGAAAACAGTACTAGATTCTGGGGCTTACAGGAGCAACCTATGCTGTTTACAAGAGATAAAGAGATACATATATATTGAGGAATTGGCAATCTGTAGTGTAGGCCTGACTGTTTCATCTGCAACACGTGATATTCTTAATTCAAGCAGAGTGATAAATCTGCTTTTTACATTCAAATATGGTTGTACCTAATTACTACTTTACTGAAGGCCTTTGCTTTTTCTCTTAGGTACGTGAAAAACCACTTGTTGAGTTTTTTTGTGAAAAAAACATGTATGTGTTTGTTTTACTTCTTGTTTTGTTAGACGGCCGCTAGCAGCAGTACTGCCCCGTCGCAGTCCAAATCCATAGGAGTCAAGATCCCTACATGTAAGATCAGTTTGAAGGACACCTTCTTAACATCTCCTGAGGAGCTCTACCGGGTATTCGTTACTCAGGAGGTAATGCTGGGCTTGTTCTGAGAATTGTTCTTTGTGCACAGCAGGTTGTTTCTAAGGTGCTCTTTAAGGCATTCTGTAGGACACTCACAATCCATGAGAAGGGAATAGGAAAGCTGCTCTGCAGAACAATTGCTTAATATGTGCATCTTTTTACACCATTGACAAGAGAGGGTTAATGTCAGCCAGAAGCCAGTTCCAGACTGCTGTCAGCACCTATCTGTAGGTGTATCCCTTACTGCATCTGGTCACATCTCTTGGGATTTAGTCATGTATGCTTTTTGGTTTGGTTTTTTTTCCTTTTAAGGTTAGGTGGTATCAAAGCATACTCAGGGAATAGATTCCCCTCTCCTGCACGCTATTATATAGTTTAAGGAGAGCAGCATTGTACGTTGTATCATTATTTAACCATGATCTTAGTCTTTTGTTCTTCCTTTAAAAAAAAAGGCAAAAAATACAAC